TTTCTATAACCATATGAAATCTCCATGTTAATTGTTTATATATTGAATACATAATTGAACATTCAGGAGAGCTCAATTATTTCTTATTGTTGATCATTAGAAGAATGGATTATATGAATAGATTGTCAGTCACAGTAGGTAGTCAGACAACAAACTTAATTTCCGAAATTTGGATTGAAATCGTAATTAGCATCATAGTTACTATGCTTCTGCGTTTAACTATAGTTTGAGTTCTGATTCAAAGCGAATATCTGTTTTATACTATCGATCATAAAATAGCAAAACTATATGAAGGTCTCTGAACGTACTCAATAAAAAAAAAAAAAAACGTATGTTTTCAATCGATGATGTAATTATAACTAACTGTTATTATATAGTGTTAGTTTCTTTTTTCTATATCTTATTGGCCTTGAAGATTTCTTCAAGCTGTTTATGCTTTAATGAGAGAAAAAAAAATTATGCTTCGTAATATGACAAAAAATAATTACTAGGGAATTATGTAATGTTTCCGCAGAATCACATGGAGACTTCTAATTCAAGCTTAATGCACTATTCGATAGAGCATGTCATCATCTATCTTTGTTGAATGTTCAAAGATGTGTCTGTAAATCCATGCTGAGATATAATGTTCCAAATGTGACTTTCTATGAAGCTGTTTGAATACTCGGCCCGAAACGCGTGGATACCAGTGCAAACTCGTCGAGTCAGTTCGGGTATGAGATAATACTCGGGCTCGATCCGGCAATTAATGAAATCTCGGTGTTTCAAAATATTTTTACTTTTTCAAAGTGCTAATTTATATAAAAGCATAGAAGTAAAAAGCGATATTCTCTTACTAAGAGAATTTGTTTTTGATGAAACTTCATTTTGTAGATGATAAAGAACCATATGACGAAGTAATTGAATACATGAAGAGGAAAATGAATTATCAAAAAGATGAACATATATTATCGTGATGGAAGCAAACGTATAATTAGCGAAATTGATTGAATTTTTTGAAATAGAAAGACATTGAATGAATCCTTAATCACTTGCTTTTTTGTAGAATTAGAGATGATCTCTTCTCTTTTTTTGTTGCTATTTATAGAATAAACTAAATAGTATATTTTTTCATATAAAATAAACATTTGAAAACCATATTGCGAATGTTTCTACTAGATGTTGATTAATCACGATCCGGCTACAGCTATTCGATTCCGGTTCTGATCTGGATATAAGATGGACGCGTCCTATTGCGAAAAATCGTATCCGTATAGGATGCTAGTTAATGGTTATATTAAGATTACTTATCTTTTCAGTTAATGAAGTTTCACATACATTTACTCTTTCCTTCCAAAATCAGCTTTTCCACTATTACGAATTAATGAGTACAAAAAAGTTACGCATAGAAAATATGAAAATACTTGCAAACTCGTTTTTAATAAGTTTTTGAAGATATATTAACACGCATTCGAAAAAGAATTTCTTTTAGAACATTTCAACGAGAACTTTGTAGAATATTCCAAGGAGAATCTTCTAAAATTCGGGAAATAATTGACTATGGTATATTTCAGTCGTTTCATTTCTTCGTAAAAACGGTTCGCTCATTTACGTACTATAATTAGGCATGCTTCAGATTCAAACTTTTAAATTTGATGAATTCGCTTCGATTTAAGTGCCTTTTTTTGCATTTCTCATTTGTACATTTTTAAAATATTTTCTTATGTATTGAAAAGTAAAAAATAAAGATTTTTATATTCTGAATAATTTTAAAATAAGTTGAATGATTAATTGAATTTCGGTGTACTACATGATTAAAGGTAATTAGTTAGATGGCAAGCGACTATTTTTTATCGTGAAATGTATAATTGTAGAATTTTCTTCTTCACTGATCAAATAACAATCCAAAGATTTTTAGACTGTTGCGCATATGTTTTAAGTTATCCTGGTCTATGGACAAAACTTCAATTAATCTATTTTATATTTATAGCTCGATTAATAATTTTTCTATAATTGTCTATTAAAATGCTTCTTTTATACAGTAATAATATACCAAAATAGATCTGCTTTCTAGTGATGTTTAGATTTGCAACTATATATTTGTCTCGCATTAATGAAACAATCAACTTTTCTTTAAGGATTTTAAGGTTTTACACTTAAATGATAAACATATTACAATGAATACCTAATGTAAACTTGAAGATAAATACTATTTTGAACTCAGTTATTATTTTTTACTTAGAACTTCAAATTTGCAAACAATCTCTATTGATGACAATCTGCTTCAACCTCTTAAAGAACAACTAGCCGACATTAAATTTATATATTTCATAGTTAGTGTGACTATATCAACCCTATGACAAAAATTTATTGTTTCGTTATTTTTTGTGAAAAAGATTATAAAAAATACAACTATTTTTCCTTGTTCTAACTAGCGATTTTTAACATTCGAAACTTCATTTTCTCCGGAATGTTACTAGTAAGAGAGAAGTTAGGCAATCGCAGATAATCAACACTAGTTGCTAACCACATCTTCACAAAATATTATGTCAACAGCTACAATAATTAAAGGAATTGCTCGTGATCCTCTTTTTTTGCCCATGACGAAGTGTAGAGTGAGTGTGGCCCTGTGTGGTAATGAATCTTCTCTTCGACCACATCAACTTTCACGTGTCAACAACATCCATACACGCACACGACACACTCCTCTTCTGCGACCCACACCCACATCCATTCATAATCGCGCTCAACACCCACGCGCACATTCACATCAACACGCCTAAACCCACCGACACACTGCACACAAATACTTCAAACTCACGCTCCGCAGTCATAACTACACCCCAGACCGGCATCTACTTTCTAATTAATTTTGTTGATCAACAATATTCAAATTAATGTATTAAAGAGCAAAGAAAAGTGTTTTAAAACGATTTTTTTTTTAAATAAATTTTCAAGTAAAGTTGAAGTTCTCATCAATAACACCAGAAATCTATTAGTTAATTTGTTTTTAATTTCATAGATTGTATTTTTTTTTTCAAAACTTATTTTCTAATTTGTAATTCATATTTTAGAAGTATTTCAATTTAATAAACAATGTATGGATTTAGTTCTTTTGTTTATGCTAAATTTTATTATTTATTTAAGTGTAATCATTTTTTTTTCCTGTTTAAGAGTTTTTGTTAATAAGAGAAGAGTGACGAAAACCGAACAGATAAATATTTAATATTGTCTGTTGTTGAAAAAGCTAGAGAAAGATAATAAAATTAAGATATAGGATCTAAATAAAACTATTCGGTATCTGTTATTATTTTTATTTGAAGACTTTGCATGATTACTTAATCATTTTCATCAAATTATATCATTCGAAATTTTTCAAAATAGACAAAAATCTTTCAGAAAGAAAAAGACCTAAATTTCATATATTGTTGAGATACATTAAAAAGATAAAATATGATTTCCTTTGAAATGAAAACAGATAAATTCCTCTTTGCGATTATAATTTCACACTATATGACGAGTTCTTATTATAGCTCGTAAAAGTCCATTAGCAGTTGAAAATTTGACGGAATACAGGACATATTAAAACAAAACTCTTCCATTCTTTATCAACGAGTGTAGACATGGCATCGGAAATTCTTTCCATCAAAATGAAGCAATTGACATATAAAATAATGTTCGATTTAGTAAGCAAGTCACTCGTACATTCTGATGACATTGATTTGTCTAAAATATCATTTCAAGACATTTTATTAATATGATGAAAAGATGCGTTAGGTAATATAAACAGTTTCTTTTATAGAAATTCAACTCACTGAACTTCTCTCATTTGAGACGAAGCAGTTAGTTAGAGACGTCAAAAACTGAAATTCGTAAAACAAAAAAAAAACAAAGAATTGATCATAGGATGAACCAGAGCCGCTAGTGTGGCATACTCACCAGATCAGACTGAATTTTGGATATATACAAGATAAGAAATGAATATTCATGTATAATAGAATACAAGCAAAATTTGAACCAATATAAATAAGTTTATTTAAATCTTCATCAATTAGATAAATTGTCATATGTGTTAGTCATTCATTTTGTTCAAATTCAATTTAAATTTTATAAGTTGAAACAAATCTATCACTATCATTTTTTTGCTCTTCATTCATATTTTAAAAAAAGTTATGTTTCTCTTATACCAAAATAAAAGAACGCAAAAAAAAATGAGAAATTGTAAGTACGAAATGATAACATATCACGTAGAGAAAATAAAAATAAGGTGCGTAATTATAGTTTTTATGTGTTAGCAAAAAATAAGTTTATATAAATGAATAAAATAGAACAATAAGATAATATAGATATTCAAGGATAAGCATCAAGAAGTTCGATGTCAAAAGTCTTTCAATCACCTTCTAGACATGTTACCTTAATTATTGAAATTATTCTTTAGAATACAAAAATAGTTCGAATTCTTAGTCAGTATATTTCTAATGAATATGTAATCAATACATTTTATTCAAATATAAAATAATCTTCTATTTCTAATCTGAATCCTATCGATAAATTTAATTAAAAACATCAGCAAAGTTTCAAATTTCATATGATATGATGACTTTCATTATGTTTTTTTTTCTCAATAATACTAACAGCACAATATTCGCAGTTTTGTTTACATTAGAAACAAATAGAACGAACTTTATGATTATCAACATATACAAAAAAGCAAATATTCCAGTGTTCTAATGTTCAAACAATACAGCAAATGTATATAGTTTTGGACAACAAATAAAATGCTCAGTATTATATATGGTGGAGTGTGGGCGCTACTCTCAGGAATGTAGAATTCGATGGAACTAGAAAACTCGAATCGAAATCGAAGCCGTAGAAACAAACTCATTGGTACAGTTAAATCATCAGATAGATAGAAAAATTCTTAAATCTATGTTGAAAAACTTTTTGTGCAATTTAATACTTGATTTATTTTCATTAATTAACAAAAAAAAAACAAGAAAATTTTACATAAATTTTTAAGTTTATTTTCCATTTCGATCACCAAGCCATGAAGTTGGTGAACCTTTACGTACACATTTTCCTGATGTTCTATTACATACTAAACCACCACAACATGATTTACCGAATCTACCCGAACATTTTTTGCCAGCTTTAGCACAATAAAATAATCTAAATTAATCAATTTTGAAAAAAGAAATACATATATATATATTTATTATGTAATGATAAAAAATACCTTTTTTCACGATGATGAACATCATCAGAATCTCCTTCTCGAGCTAAAACACAATTGACAATAATCAATAGAATCAATAAAAAGGCAAATATTCGAACATTAGCCATGTGTTTGTTTTTTTGCTTCAAATAAGTCTGCAATAAAATAATTTACAATAACTTTGATTTAGTCAAATGTCAAAGAATGTATATATATGAATAAGTACGTAGACTTTGGTATACACTACTATAAATGAGAATAGTACTATGCATACATATATATATATAAAGAAAAGGTGTAGCTCATAGAAAAGAAAAAGAATGAAATTGATATATCATATTGATTCACCGAGTGAGTAAAAACATTACCAATTTGATGTATTAGTTTTTTGATAACGATAAGATTAATTGATCGCAAAATACATCTAAATCAAACAAGCCGGAAAACAAAACAAATATAAATACTTATCAATCTGACCTTCGATCGAAATCTTAGATATTTTGCCCTAGAGGTTAGTCATTGTATATGCGCATTAAATTTTGTATGATCTTAGAGATTTATTTGAGAACGAAAAGAGTAGAAAAAGCTTAATGTGGTCCCTCATAAAAAAATAAATTTCAGTTCAATATATCAACATTATGGTTTACAGCTCATTCAAAAGAGAAAAGTATTTACTCGCGAATGTACTATAGTTTATTGATTTTACGGATATTACATTGGTTTTTCTGAATCCACATACTGAAGAAAATAATGTTTTGGTCTAAAAACTTTGATTTTTAAGGTTTTTCAAGTCGCTCGGAAGATCTTGTTTTTCGGATAAACAATTTTCACATGTTAATGCGAGAATATTTCGAACACATCGTTTATCTTAACTGTGAACAAGTAGACTTTCTTCTGGATTAAGTTATAACAATTCATTTAAATAGTTGCTCAATTTCCAATTTGAATTTTTGAACATAAACTATTTATGATGCCTCTTATGTATTATTTCATGTCTGCTTTTAATCATCGTTCGATTTTGTTTTTCTTACCATAAACCTTCCATAGTAAATTATTGTTCATCTATACTCGATGTCTATTTAATGTTCATCGTGCTCATATCAATGTATTTACACCATGATTTTGAACTTTTAGTATAATACTTCATGATTTACAAAGAAAAAACTCATAAAAAATATATGGAGCAGTATAACCTTCTTCTTCTTTTTCAATTCGATAAAATAAATCATGAACAAAGATTGAACTTTTTTTCTATCCTTAATAAAAGATTCATTTTGTAATAATTACTTTTTCTTTATCCTTGTGAGAACAATCCGTCATATACTTGATGAACAATAACCTATAATCGCTTTTATATAAAAAAAAAAAGAATCTCGGGGCAAATTTTCAGATTTAAAACTAGAAAACAAAATCAGTTTTTTATATTCTAAACTTTCGAATCATTCAAACTTTATTCAAGAAAAGCCAAGTTTATATATTATTAAAAACTTATCAAACATTTGATTTATAAGTTCAGTTTAAATTATCGAACAGATGATCAAATTATTTTCTTTTATCGAGTTTTGATTTTTTTCGAATATTCTAAAGCTTTGGTTGTGTATCTCATCGGTAAGATGAAGATCGCAGAATGGCTTTCGATCATTTATACTCGTGACTTTTCATATCGACGATCATTCCTTACGTTCACTCTTTCTGAATATTTATCATACATATTCATTAATATAAACCGCTGGTATGATCTCAGAATATCACCGAAAGATATATCAAAGCGCTAGACGCTATATTTATGTTTTTAATTCTTATCAATCCCAACTAAAATTATTATCCTCTTTTACGACTATTTACTCATCAAAGCAAAATTCGGTTCACTGTAGATGCAAATTTTCAAATCTATGAATCATCGGACTACTATCGTTTACATGTTGATTGATGAATTTACTTTTTAATCAAACCTATGATGCTATAAATTTCCTCTTAGTAATAAAAAATGATCGAAAATATGTGGTGCATCCATTGTTTTTACGTTGTACAAATTTCTTCTTGTCTTTGAATAACAAAAAAAAAAAATTTTTTTCTTATTATAAATCATATATATTTTTGTTTGTTTAATAAGACTATGATTAGATATAATACTTTGATAACTAATATCCTCGATAAATTTATTTAATAATACAGAGGACATTCAATATTAGGAAAAAATTGTCGAAATCTATGAAAATAAATATTATGTCTTTTTTTCATTTCAATTTTCCAATCCGATGGAAGTTCATCAACAATTAATAAACGTAATCGTTTACCAAATTCATTTAATACATGTCTAGGACGAAAATATGATGTTACTCGTGCAATAAGAATATAATCACAATCTAATGTATCACAATTAGGTAAACAAAGTAAAAATTCTTTAATTATATCAGGATTTTGTAATGAAGTTAATTTAATAATTAAACGACGAATTGTTGGTAAATTAAACCATGTTGATAATGATGGTATAGATATCATTAAATCAAATTTCCATTTTAATGTTAATGTTGTTAAATTTATAAATTCATTACGAAGATAAATTAAAAATTCATTTGTATATGGTATACGATCATATAAATTAATATCATATACAAAACGCCAATTATATTTTAATTTTCTTGTTTGTTGACTTTTTAATATTGTTTGATCAAGATCAACATGATGAAATGGAAATGGTAATGTATATATATGATTATATGAATGAAAACCTATTGGTGAAAAACGTAACCAAAATGGTGTTTCAAATGATTGTATTAAATTATTTGATATAATTGATAATGAAAATTTTATTTCAAATTGTAAATTAATTAAATTTGATAAATATATAAATATATCGTTATATAAACGATTACCATCAATAATACCTGATTGATAATCAAAAACTAATGAAAAACTTAATTTTTCAATTGATATTAATGTTTTAAATATATTTTTAATTATTTCATAAGAAACTGAATTTAAACATATAAATAAAAAATATTTTAAATGCGGACAAGATTTTGTTATTGTTAATGGATTTTGATGATTAATATTTGTATCTAAGACACGTATACAAAGTGAACGAAGTTGACGAGCACTACTCAATATTGAACAAAAATCATTCATTGAACGAACAGTTAACTATAATGAAAACAAAACAATTTAACTTATAAAAAATCAAGATTTCTAATAGGACTGCCATTGATATCTACAACGATTTTAATAAGTACTGTTAAACTTAAGGGCACCCCTCAGGATTGATTGATCCTAATGAGCAAAGCTTGTGGTAACAATTTCAACCTAATATGCCTGACTAGACCGAACATCCGGCTTGTTATCCTACCTTCTAGGAGAATCGAAATAACTCCGTGGTTATAAGTACAGAGCTCGAGCTAGTTTCAAATTAAAGCTAGCCTCTGTGCACAACTTTTCACTGAATGGAATTTCGACATCCCTGTGGAGAACTTCGGGCATGAGTCAAAATTTAATTGAGAGCTATCACTAAATCAACCTTTGGAATATTACTAGAAGCCACTTCTAACTTCACTACAACACAAAAAATCGAAATATTTCACACACCGCAAAAGGGCATTATCCACCCTCCTTTTTTTTTTATAATAGAAGCGATGTTCTACAGATCCACCAGGCTAACCTCATTACGGCGATAACTCTTGTATAGATGTATTCATCGAAATCTCTTTTATGTCACAGTGAAAACCGCACTTCGATATCATCTCGCATTCGCGAATTATTCAAAGATTAAGAAACTCGGAAAAATCGTACTATAGAACAAATCATATTTCAATGGGATATTTTTAATATATTTCAGTGGACTGTTTTAATGTACGTAATAGATGAAGATAGCTAACGCAGTTCTTCCAAAAAGCCATATATATTCTGAAAGAGGACGCTTCACTGCATCTTCCTGTGATAAAAATTTAACTTCGATATTTTTTTGAAAATATTGAATTTTCTAAGGGACCTTTAACTCTTAGAAATGATGTTTCTACCCAAATTGTATTATTATTTTTGAAAGACATAGGTGTAACAAATCATCGGGTTACAACAGACTCAATATCTCCATCAGAGATGGAATTGATTAGTGTTTTTTTTTCCGAACCGAACCGATCTCTGATTTCTATTGAGTGATCTATACGGTTTATATGGAAGATCGATTGGATTGGACAACTGTTAAAACTTTCTGCAATCAAAGCTCAAGAAGTTTGATCTGATATCCCGCCAGACATCCGAGGGAACTTTTCCAGATAACCTCACCTTGAAATTCAGTAATTTTTTTTGCTCTTAGATACTACAAAGTATTTTAGTGAAAACTCGGAAAGGTTTTGACTTCTTAAGGATACTTCGCGGAATTCTGATGTTTTCACTATGACTATTTCCTAAAGATTCCTGTAAGACACTTGATCAATATTCTAAATATGATTCGATTATCTTCTACAACATTGAACTTACTGTCAAGTTAGTAAGTAAACATTGTTCAAAATTGATATCTTGTAATGAAATTGAAAAGCATGGTGGTGTTGCAAATGTTAATGATTGAAGTTGTATTTTATTTGTTTGAAAAAAATTTTGTTTGACTTGTTCTTCAAATAATATTCGATCACAACAACAAACATCACTTCTTATATAAAGTTGTTTAAGTTGTGTAAAAAATGAAAAATATTTTAATAAAATTGTTAATTCATTTGTTTTTCGTATAATTATTGATAATGATTCTAATCGAGGAAATATTTTTTCATTTAATATAAATTTATTTAACATTTTACATTCAATTTTAACTTTTTCAATATTGAATTTATTTATATGATATGATTGAAATATTAATGAATAATATAAATTGAATATTGGTAAAGAAGCATTTATAAGATTAATCGATGTTGAAAACGATCGAAATTCTTCAATAAGACGTGCATAACGACGTTTAAGAAAATAAAATGCATAGACAATATCATATGTTTTAAGATAACTAAACACAATCAAAACGATTTCATTTGGAAGTGATTCCATTGTTGAAATGTTATTTATTTATTTCTTATTCATTGTCAACGAAATATATAATACTGAACGTACAGCATCATCGTCGACTAAATTGCGCAATGAAAAAAAAAAAAAGACAATAATGGAAAAGAAAAAAAATATGTTCGTCTGAGAGAGATGAATAAATTTTAGTCTTTCCTTTTTTGTACAATAAGAAAAAAAATCTCTGTACAATTCATATAGCGGTCATCGCTTAGAATTCATATAAGAACAACATGTAAAATCAATTCTGAATGTAAAAAAATTTTCGCAAAAAAAAATATATATTCTTTTCAATAGAATATTATTATTATAGGAGACTGGAGATCTGAATTATTTCCGAATCTATTGATAATCGAATATTTACAAAAACGCGATAGTTATGATATGAAATAACTAGACATGAATGGAATCAATGGTTTTTTTGTCCCGGTCTCGACGTAAAAAGAAGTGATCCTAGTTCCGTTCTTAAAAAAATTTTTCTCGGGTCCAGTCAAAAAAAAAATTTGGTCCCAGCCAAACTTGATGCCGAGTCCGGTCGAAAAAACTTGATCTCAGTTCCAGTCTAAACAAAAGGATCGGGACCGTCTTTGCCCTTATCTATTTAGAACGCATGAGTCATGTCAATATGACATTCGCTATAAGATTTACACGACCATAGAATGTGTTATTCTCAATGAAAAAGTGTTGATTGTCGTTCTAGTTCCGCCGGAACCATTTAGCCGATGTCTAGAAATAAGGAATACGAAACGATTTACAAACTCGGATGTAAATCATTAAATAGAAATTATAGAATTTTTCTAATTCAATTTGAAATTTATTAGAATTATTCAATTTCTTCCAGGATATGTTTTTCTAAATCATTGAAGCGAAATATAATCTAAATGAAAGAAAGAATTCAATCTTTTTCGTTGATTATATTTTCAATAAAGTAATGATGAATATTGCGAATATAATCTGATTGTCATCTTATCTAAATATATATATTTTTCTTTTGTTCTTGCTTCTTTACACAAAAAATAGTATAGCCTCTGGACATGAATAAAATATTTATATTAGACTTGAAAAACAAGTTAATAATCAATTTAAATTATTTCGGGAATTAGTTTAGCTTATTGATAATGTTGGAGTTAAATGCATCTGATACTTAGTCGGAATACGAATATTATTTTGTTGAAATATATTTGCATATAGTAATTTCTTTTATCTATTACATTTCTATTGTCATTTTATTATTTGAGATTATTTCAATCTCTATGATTCATATTACGTCTTTTTTGTTCTTCTATACGCTGATCAAATTGCAATTGAATTAAGAGGCTGGTACACTTAAAAAATTACGACATCGACACATTTCCGGACTTGAATATATCTTATTCTTGTTCAAGAACACGATGTCAACTATAATTGAGGATCATTTATGTTAAAGCATATTATTCTTGAACACGATGACATATAAAACCGTCGATCATCATTAATAATTATATGTTTGTCCCTGTAAGAACAAAAAAAGACGTACACGATTCTTCTTACATACATGAATAAAAAAAGAGATTGATTGAATTGATTATATTTCGATACAATTTTCTTCTATTCTTTCCCTTATATATATCTACATATTTTTTTCTAATAAAAAAAAGTCTACAGAAAAGGATAAAAGAAAACTAAGGGCAGTAAATAGCTTTACGCAAAGAGAAACGATCATTTTTGTAGACAAAAGAAAGGAGGAAGAACAAAAAAGAAGGACTTTTGTTGATCGCATTATTTCAATGTTTTGTTAATACGTTACGATTATGGATAAATCATACGTTGTACCTACTGGTCAAGTTTATCATAGTAAAGGTCGAAGATTTTTATGGGCTGTACTATTTCTTATCGCTGTTATTATTTTATTGGCTGGTTTATTGGTTTTTACTGTTATTAATAGAACATTGAAACCAGGTAAATTGTTATTTGTTGTTTTCTTATAAAATATAAATATATAAATTTCGAATTGTTTTAGAAATACAAAAGAAAAGTTTAACAATATTTGATAGTAATTTTACAGATTCTAATTCTAGTAAGGACTTGTGTTTAATTATTCAGTATTTTATAATGAATGCTCAGTAATTAATTTAAAAAGACTCAGTATTTAAGAGTGTCGATATAAATGTGTCGCGATTGTGAATGTGTATGTGTTACTGTCGATTTTCCTGACAGTAGCATTCACACGCCACACTCAAATCAACATCTCATAGCCACACCTCTAACTACAAATTATTAATTCACTGAGCAAACATAATAGTTACCGAACATTAAATTTTGTACTGATAGTTTGATTAAATTTGTTGTTTATTTGTGTATAATACTAAGCATTTAATTAACTACTATTAAATTGTTTGTTTTTATTATTCTATTAGATCGATCTGAACGAGGTAAGATAATAATTATAAATTTTTCATCAAAATTTTGTTTCTATTAGCATGTTTATATGGACATATTGAATGTGAATTTGGTGCAATTTGTACTAAACAACATGAATGTCGATGTTTATTTAATTGTACTGATGATGATGAATATATTCAAGATGAAACAACTGGAAAATGGTATTTAAATAAATGTCAACTTGATGAAACTCGATGTAATTCTTACTATGAAAAAAGTAAGTATTATAGAATAAAGAAAATTATTTTTAAAGAATTTCTCGAAGATTTACAATGTTTATCAATAAATTGTTCTTATGGTTCAAAATGTTTAATAAGTGATAATGGTTTTCCTATATGTTATTGTCCAAGTAATTGTAATGAATATATTCGTACAATATCATTCAATGGATCAGTTTGTGGTAGTGATCATCAAACTTATGAAACGATTTGTGAATTAAATAAACGATCATGTGAAATACAAGAAAATTTATACATTGCACATTTAGGCAAATGTCGTATGTTGATTTTTACTTTGTTTTGTTTTTTAAAGAAATAATTTTTAGAACATTGTCAAAATTCAAGTTGTATTTTAAATCATAAAAAATGTGATCCTTATATTAATTGTTCATTTGATTATCAACCATTTTGTGCAAATAATCTTCATAATTATTCAAATGAATGTGAAATGTTTAAATATGCTTGTCAATCAAATATAAATTTAATAAAACTTCATGATGGAACATGTACTTTAGATGAACAAGAACAATTACGTGAAGGTAAATTATTTAATATGAAATATTTCAAAAAAAAATAAATAAGATTAATTTTCTTTTTTTAGCTTGTAAAAAATTTATTTGTTTAAATGGAAAAACATGTATGATTGAAAATGATATTGGAGTATGTCGATGTTTATTTAATTGTTCATCCGAAAAGAATCAAGTACAAAAAACAAAAATAATTTTTTGAATTTTATTTTTTTTTATTTTTTATTTCGTAAAGACATGTGCTTCAAATGGTATTATCTATCGAAATTTATGTGAAATGGAGCGTGATCGTTGTATACATGGAGAAAATTTTGTACCAGTTGATAGTTCATATTGTAAATTATTTGATCGTGTTTTTTTTTTTTGATTAGAAAATGTTTTTTGTTTTTTAATGAAGGCATATCAACATGTGATACAACTATATGTCCATATGGTCGATGTAAACAACAATCTAATAATCACATTGAATGTGAATGTCAACCATGTTCAAGTAATTATTCTTACGAAGATTTAATGTGTGGAGATAATGGTATTACATATCCGTAAGTTGTTTTATATCAGAGATAGAATCGGTTCGTATTTTGTTTTGAAGCCAAATCAACATCAATCAATAGTTCCGACAACCGGATTCGTAAACTTCCGGCCGTAAAAAGTGAGAAAATGAATACAAACTTGGAAGCAGGAATCCGATGACTATCATTTTCCAGGGAGAATCTATCGGAAATTCACAAATCAGGGCATCGGAATCATTGATCTAGGCGTTCTTTGTTATTGCCCATCACCACAATTGAGAAGATGCCAAGTCTTATGCAAAGGAGAAAGTTTTTAAGGAGTACAGTTAACATGTTTATAGAGCAAGGGAGCCTTAATAGGTGATTATAACATTGTCAATCACTTGGGAATTAATGAAATGATCATTTTTCTGAAATCGAAATGAAAAAAGTTCGAACGGATTCCATCTCTGTTTTATATGTTATTTTTGTTGTTATAATACTAATAAATATTTATAATAGATCAAAATGTTTCCTTGAATATGATGCTTGTACAAGACAAATAAATATAAAACCAAGTCATATGGGACAATGTAATAATTGTCAGGATGTTGTATGTCCGTTTAATGGACAATGTCAATCTGAACAAGGCAGTTATTCATGTATATGTCCAACAAGAAATAATTGTCCAATCGTTCCGGTACGTTAATTGTCTTATATAGTTCTAAAATACTATAGACTAAATCTATATATATATAATGTTCAGTGTCTGTCTGACGTCTCTGTGCCAAGGCCAAAGGTCAAATAAGGCCACACGGGGAAGCCTATAAATGCTGCTATATTGGGACACCCATAGGTACTCAAGGATTATTATATGAAGGTACCCTTGGATCCTCAAGAGCTGTTATATGAGGGTATCCATAGGTCTTCAAGGGCTATTATATAGGGGTAGTTGTAGGTCCTAAAGGGCTATTATATGAAGGTACCCATAGATTCTCAACGGCTATTATATGGGAGTATCCATAGGTCTTCAAGGGCTATAAGGGGTAGGGGATAAGGGTAAAGAGATAAGAGGCTAAGGCTACAGAGACATAAGGGATAAAACTAAAAGAGTATAAGGAGATAAGGGTATAGCGGATAAGTAGATGAGGTTGCATGTAATATAAGGGATAAAGGAATAATGAAATAAGGTTATAAGAGGTAATACCACAATAGTATAAGGCTAGAAGGGTATAAAACTATAAGGTCTCTCGATATATATAGTGTGAACTATCTGATTCTCTATTACTGAATCAAGGCTAAAGGACAAATGTGAAACTTTACAGGAAAAAAGCATCCGTGCAGTATGCACGGGCTCTCGCTAGTTTTAAATATTCTCTACTTATGAGCGAAACGTGAGCTCAACAAGATTGAAATCATTGATAAGATGTTTATAGAAAGCCTCCCGAATTCTCGTCATTTCCAACAAAAATCAGTCAATTTTTACGACCAAATCTATTTTCTTATCCCTTCTCGTGTAACTAGTACGATAAAAAAGTTGATCAAATTTACCTTTCTATAAATATATATTTAGAAGAATAATTCTTATACAATATGTGGAAGTAATCAAGAATTATTTAATAGTCAATGTGAAATGGATATACGTTCATGTGAATTAAAAACTCATATTTATACTGTTGCACCTCATTATTGTACTAAAGATAAAGATTCAATGGGTATTTGAAGAAAAAAAAAGCAACAACAACAATAACAAATTCTTAAAATGTACATTTCTATTTTTCTTTTATTAGAATATACTCAAGAATGTGGTTATGATGAATCATTACTTGATTTAAAATTAGATCGTCATATTGATTGTGATACTATGGAACGATGTCCAATCAATAGTTATTGTAATAAACAAACAAATCGATGTTGTGTTAAAGGTAGAATAAGACGAAAAAAAAAATTATATTCTATAAAAGTATATATTTTTAGTTATGACTGCTATTTTTCCATATCGAATGTGTTTATCAGATAGACATTGTGGTCAAAATATGATTTGTTTAAATGGTCTTTGTCAATGTGCAAGAAATGATTTGATGCCAGTAAAAGAAAAAAGAGAATGCGGTAGGAGAAACAGATTTTTCGTATAATAATTATTTCAAAAGTTTTATTTTAGTTTCTCTTCTTCCACAGTTATCTATTAATTCAAGTTGTATTAATTCATCATTTGGATGTTGTAAAGATAATATTACTATTTCGCTGACTTCTGATCGACGAGGATGTCCAGGTATATTAAGCTTTTTACGGATAACATCAGTTTCACCGTACTAACTTTTGCAGCGAACTTTCGATAACTGCCTAAAATTGTCATGTGAGTAGAGTCCATCAGGTTCTCTTAGATCCGATGGACTCTAGTTGTGACGGAGCATTCGTCTTCTAAAAGCAAATATTTGGTCGAGACTAGAGATGTACGGGACCAAGCTTTTTGGTTCCGGTAAAATTTTTTCTCTGTAGTTCCGCACATGTCTAATCCAGACACAACTTTCGACTATTGCTGAAAATCTTCTATGAAAGTCAATACAATGAAATTGATGTTTCCCATTTTTATTTGATTGATATATTTGTTAGAATATTGTAATTGTAATTCAATTGGTTCATTGCGATCATCATGTGATCCAAATACAGATTCTTGTTATTGTCGACCAGCTGTTAGTGGATTAAGTTGTTCATATTGTGAAAATGAATATTGGGGTTTTTCTCGTATATTAACACATAATAATACTGGCTGTACTCGTAAATAATCAAAGAAAAGAAAATAGGCTTTTAGTTTATCAAAAGAAAGTATATTTTTTATAGCTTGTGGTTGTCATCCATATGGTTCATTACAAAAAGATTGTTTACAAGATACTGGACAATGTTCATGTCATTCATTTACAATAGGTCGTCAATGTGATAAATGTATTGATTCATCTTTAATATTAACTGATCGTGGATGTGTTAGTTGTATGTAAAAAGAAAAGAAAAAACAATATTTTATTAATTTTTTCTTTCTTTTTTTTTTTAGTAAGTAAAAATCGTTATCGACGTCAACGAACATGTCGAGATTTAATATGTCTTTTTGATGGAATATGTGAAATAATAAATGGTTATCCTCGTTGTAAATGTCATCATATAACTTGTACAAATGAAGAACAATATTTAATGAATATATGTGCATCAGATGGACGAACTTATCAATCAAAATGTGATATTAAACGACAACAATGTTTAAAACAATATGAAATTGTTTTAATATATCCCGGTGTTTGTAATGGTAAATTAATTTTAATTTTTGAAATCAATTTATTTATTTTATTAAATTAGGAAATGATGAAAATTTTCATTTCGAACAAGATAATATTTTAAATCATGAACTGCCAATAATACCAATTGATTCAAGTAAAAAGACTTTTGTATATATTTTTTGTGACCCGATCCGACCCCAGTCGGTTACTGATATATATTAAAATATCTTATTATTTAGAACGATGTATAACAGATAAAGATTGTGGAGAAAATATGGTTTGTTTATCAGAATTTTGTGAATGTGAACAACAAAAATATAAACGTATACCGGGACCACAATGTATTACGCGTAAGATGATTATTTTGATTTTGCATGACAATTATTTCAAAATTATTTTTCAGCTCAATCAATTTCCTTACGATCAAATAATACAAGTATAATTTTATTTTTTCTTTTGGATTAACAAAAAGAAAACGAAATAAACATTTTTTCTTTAATAGTAAATCCTATTCGTCGTATATCCGATGGTATTTGTATACGATGGAATCCATGTAAAAATCATGGAATATGTCAAGATCGAACAAATCAAAACTACACATGTTTATGTCCATTCGGATGGAAAGGACATAATTGTAATCAAAGTAAAATTTTGATTATGTTGATTTCATTAAAATCTAAAGAACTTTTAAAGTTTCGCGAATACATTAAAATGAAAGAATTCCTTCTTAATGTGTTGATGGCAGACTTATTTTTTTTTTTGTTATAAAAAATGAAATTGTGTTGCCAAAATTAATTATACTTTGAAAGTTATTAATGGTCATAATTATTATCCTTAGACCTCATTTAAAAGATGCAGCTGATTTATTTTGAAATGAGAAAAAAAAACTAAAAGTTCATCGAGGTATGAAATTCCTCGAAGCAATCGACTACGCAAAGACCCACATCACAATCTTTACACATATAACGTCAATTGGTTCTCTTTTTAGGTCTTCTCTGTTAGTATGTGCACATACAACACATTGTTTCTGAGAAGTTTTTCTTTCCGTTGTTTGAAGTAGAAGAGAAGGAAAATGTCGAGTTGGTTTACAATCCCGCATTAACCACCATGAATCATTGATGGTGCATTACGAAAGATATCCCTAGCGCTTACAGGATATCACTAGTGAGCTCTACCAACTTATCGCTATATACTATAGATAAAATTAGTGAGTAATCCCTTAATTAACCCATTCAAATTTTGAGCCCGTATATATACGGGCTTCATCCTCTACGGGTTAAAAAAAAACGAAGAATAATAATCTGTAGGACAGCTGAAAGATTACCTTCCACTACTGCTGATTTATCCGATATTCGCTCTGACTGTATCTCTCCGTGGATACCGTATATGGCCTTTGTTTTCTAGCTTCTATTGCTTGGTATACACTGTCACAGAGATACACGATCGTAACATTGACGAGAGAAACTCATCGGGTGTCAAATCACTTTTCGACCAAGACGATGTTTGCTGAATTGACTTTCAAAATTTCGTTCTTTTTTTTATCATCTCATAAATATCGACCGTTAACAATCACTCTCCTGGTTGCATCAATCTAATTAGATCTGACTGAATCCTATCAGAATCCAACAGTATTCTGTAGGAATTTCGTCGGAATCTGTTTGGGATTCTAGTATTAAAATCTAGTACTTATTAGAATAGTAGTCATTAAGCGAGTACTAAAATAGAATGGAAATCAATACGTAAGTGAAGTTAGCACCATATTCAAGTAAAAGTTGCCCATATTCGTCGAGGAGCTCGTTCCAAAGTATAACTCGACGAGCTATATCCAATGGTATGCACAGGTTTCTGATAGTTCAAAGTATGTTTTTCTGTAGCACCATTTATCGGCCGCAAAATCATACTTTGAACTATCAAAAATCTGAGCATACCATTGGATAGGGCTCGTGGTGTTGTATTTGGAACGCTGGTTGAGAGCTTTAGAATGGATTTCTAGGCGAATACAGGCAATCTTTACCCGAATACGGTGCGAACTTACACGTAGAGCTCATCTTTTCGGATATTCTGTGTATAACTCACCCCTAACTTCTTTTTGAAAACGACTGCGTGAGTGGACTACCATCTCTATTTTACATCGATGTAAGCCTCTATGCAATTCATAACCGCTGATGCCTATCTAATCCACCCATGCATATGTCGTCCGTTCACGCAGAGATGAACCCGGAAATCGAAAAAGGGTTGATAGAATCCTATCGAAATCCGACAGGCGAAATTTCTACCTGTTGAATATCATTGAATATTCGTCTGGATCCGATCGGATTTATCCATCTTGGCTTACGAGGCTAACCAGTTCAAATTACACCACTCTCTTGATCAAACCTTCTACACATGAATCTGATTTTAATATTCTAATAAACTTAAGATTCTTTTTTTTTTCTTAAATTTAGAAATTGAAATAACTATTCCATATTTTAATCAACAATCTTATTTAAAACTTAAGTTATTAGAACCGATAAAATCTATTGATCTTACATTTGCAACAGAACATAATGATGGTTTAATTTTATATTGTGATAATAAATTAATAGAATTATATTTTACAATTTCAATACGAAATAAAATTATCGATATTACGTAAGTTTTAGAAAAATTTTGAATAGAAAAAAAAAAGTTTGTTTCTTTGAAGTATTCGTTCTGATCGTTTTATTTCAACAATTCAGTTATCTGATATGATTGATCTTAATACATATGTCCGTTTACAAATTCATCTATTATATAATGAAATACAAGTTAAATTAAATCATGGAAATCTTTCATCGAGTATGTAAAATATAAACTAAATCGAAAATAAAAATACAATATTTTGTTTTTTTCATATTACAGGATTATTACCATTTGATATTATGTTGACAAATATATTATACATAGGGGGATTACCAATATCATTTCATTCGTAAGAATATATTATTAGTATTATTATTTATAAAATTCAATTAAATTTTATCTAGTCTTTCACAATATTTTGACTCTAATGAAGGTTTTCAAGGATGTATTCATGAATTATCAATTAATGGAAAACAAATTCGATTTAATAATACAGAACATATTGGTCAAAATATTGGTTAGTATTGTAAAACACGATTCGGAAGGCGTGTTGAAGTATAGGAGTAGAAACTTGGATTCTCCTCTCCACAGATATGACAGACACGTTAGAAACAGTTGATCACAGACGTTGTTGATGTACGATTGTAGACCGTATATCAACAGCGTCTCGTTATAAACTGTAAATTATACTTCCTTATTGCATTTTTGGAACAGAGCTACCAGCAATTTAGCTTTTTCCTGGACTGGCCCAGTCTTGGTTGGAATGTCGGCAGGCCACACCAGGCCGATGGCTGTTTCTGATTTGATGAATACGTTTAATTTTAGAATTCTGCATAAATGTGTATCATTCCAGGTTCAGTCGTTCACTGAATTTATTTGCATAAAGATAAGATAAGATAAGAACAAATTCTTGCACGAAATAGGGAATTAAAACCAAGAGGCAATATAAAAAATTTTTATAAAAGAAAATTTGAATTAACAAAATGTTTTTGATCATATCAGTTCTATTCTTTTAATCGACGTGAACCTTTAAATTTTTTTTTGATTTATTAGATGAATGTACAGGAAATCCATGTCGATCAGTGTCATCTAAAAATGGAATTCGATGTATACCGATAAGAAATAATGATGTAAATAGTTATAAATATTTCGATAATGATTATTCAACAATTGATCGATGTTTAATAAAACCATGTGAAATAAATCAACAATGTATTAATGTACATCCGAATAATTATATATGTATATGTTTAAATTGTTCATTAAGTATGAAGAAAATATTTGAAATTTTTAAAAAGAAAATATTTACATATTTTTTTAATTTGATTAGATAATCAATATATTGCTGGATTTCATTCAAATAGTTATATTAAACATCTACCGTTTCAATCATTGAAAGATACAGAAAGATTTAAAATGGAACTATGGTTTCTACCTGAAAGTTCATCAGGTAGAAATTTGTTTTCATATATTGTTTAATTTATTAGATTGAGTGTGGTTTTTTTTTCTCTCTTTAGGTTTACTTATTTATAGTGAACATATTAATTCCAAAAAAGGTTATTTTAAACTTTATTTAGAACGAAAAATACTTATATTCGATATTATCATTGGTAGTAAACGTATTTCACTCAGGTATTTCAATCAATCGATTTATTCAAAAGCTAATTAGTCAATTTTATGAAATTAGAACTTGAGGATAAGAGTATTGGTGTCGATGTTTTTCTTCAGTCTCACCCACACCGAAGAATATGAAGACTAATGAACGATACTGACACAATTCAAGAAACGAAAGAACTGATTTCAATCCTAGCATGACCGTCTTTGCAAATATTTAGCTATATATTATTGTCCGAAATGATTCATTTGTCAAAAAATAATTCATGATAAGAAGTTGGTTCTCCGCCTCATCCAGATGAAATAACAGCATAACTGAGAAAAAACCAAATTAACAATAAATGTAACTTTTATGTCATTAGAAACAAATGGCTCATTTATGACCCATTGTGCATTTTTGGAGTGAAATTTTTTTCGTTCAAATTTAACCATATCAGTGTCATAATCGACACCTCCATAAGCTGTTTCCGTGTTTGGTTAAACATTAACTCTACTGGATCCTAGTAAAATATGAAAAATCTTAAAATGACAAGTCCCATTAGACTTTCTATTCAGAGTTATAGGTATTTTACTAGAATTTTAGCTTCCGGTATGGTTTGCAAAAAGACTTGGAACAAACATTTTTCCTGTATTTCTGGCTTGTTCAACGGCTTTCAAGAAAAGAAGATTTCTTTATTTAATACATATTAATTTACAAATTTACAATATACAGTTCAATAATTGATTCATTTTCCTTTTGATTCAATAACCAAGAGACATTCTGTTTTTTTTATGCTGTTGCTCAAATTAATTATAACACCTTTCTCAATATCATTGCATTCTTCATTTATAAAGATTTTTAACTCATTAATATTTTTTGGTTTTCTTTCTTCAATCCGATGTTTCATGATCCCATGTAATAAAAACCGGAAGAAAATCGACGGTCACCTGTGATTTTATCGGTCCGGTTACTGGCTCCCATCGCTACAGTTTACCGCGGTAAATCACCGGTTTTGATGAATACCGCGGTTCGCCGATGATCATTGACATTTGGTTGCTCCAAATCATTGGTTTTGCTATTTTTAATGTCTTTTTTGTCTTGTACCTTCTCATGTCATAAAAATACTCGAAAAAACTGCCGGTTTACCGTGACTTTACCGATTCCCGTTACTGCAATTTACCGTAGTTTATCGCTAAAAACTATCCGGTATGTACGATATGGGATGTTTCAAAGGTTTTCAATCGAATTCAGATCCAGATTATTTGATGGCCAGTACATAACATGAGAAACATTTGCTGCCAATCATATTTCAGTTTTTGAACAGCAATGTTTCGGATCGTTATCTTGTTGAAGTCTCCATTTATTATTAAATTATTGCTTAGCATTTGAAATCAAATTGTTTTCTAATATTTCGATGTAATAATCACTATTCATAATATTTTGAAATGAATGAAAACCAGCTGGTGTTTTGACCAGAGACGAATCATATTTCTAAACAATTGAAATGAATTTTCATCGATAAATATTGTAGATTTCCAATTGTTATTTAAAAGTGCTTTGGCCCATTCAACTCGACGATCTTTATGCATTCTGATGTCAACATTGGCGTTTTCAATGGTCAACAATTTTCATATTGAAGTTTTTTCAAATGGCGTGAAACTATGCTGGTGGAAACATTTAATTGACATTGATTACGTAGTTTTTCAGCCAATCCATGCAACACAACTTCATTATTTCGTCTAATAAATTGATCTAATGCTCGGCTGCATTTGACGTCAATCTTATGTCTTCGACCATTGCCTTCCCGATATTGTATAGAACCTTGAGTTCTTAGCTTTTTCAACTAGTATCTAATTGTAGACAATAGTGTTTTGGTAGTCCGGTGGATTTTTCTAGAAAAACAAATTTCTATGTTCCATTAATGTAATAGAGAATGTCCTTTTGAGGTTTCTCACATCTCAATAAACTCTATCTTGTGAATTGAACCCAAATTCAACAGTAATCGGTCAGTTGAAAACATTCCCTAGTAACCAACCACAACTATGAAACGAGTGTTTCTGAACATTTGCAATCCCATCACATAAAATATAGGCGTAGAATTTTTATAATATTTCATCGAATTTTTTATTCTCAGAAGTTACTTGTTATTTTATTAGTTCTCGATATCCAATTGAATTAAATAAATGGCATCAATGTTTAATTGAAATCTATAGTCAAAAATTATCGCTAATTCTCGATCAAGAATCACCTGTTATATCTTATGAATTAGTTTCTTCAAATATTCTATGGTCTCGTTCATTTACATTTATTGGTTATTTACCTAATCAATATCGATCAACAAATATTTCGATATTCGAAGGATTTCGTGGAGCAATACAAAAAGTATTTATTTAATTTGTAATTTATCTATATTTATTTTTTGTACTAATAGATTATTCTAAATAATCATTCATTAAATGATATTCGTCAAAATGCTATTAAATTATATAATATAACTGAATATTATGGTTATCCTTGTCAACCAAATCCATGTACATTGAATAGACAATGTCATCAAATAGAATTAAATAATTATACTTGTATTGAAGAATTAAAACGAAATGATACATCACTTGAACTTGATGGAACAATAAATGCTATGTATACATATATACCTTCAAATTTACGTCGAAATTATTTTGATTTATTATTGAAAACAAAATATTCTTGGGGGCTGATTTTTTATATTGGTGAAACATCATTATCATTTTTTTCAAATTATTTATCATTAATAGTTATTGATGGATTTCTACAATTTTCAGTGAAAATTGATAGAAATTCAAGTGTTGCTTTAGTCAAATCAAAAATACGAATTGATGACGGCCAATGGCATCATATTCAAATAGAAAGGTAGATATCATTCATTTTATTATTAGAAAAGTCCATCTTTCAACTACTGAAAGGAATAAACTATTCTTCAGAGATAACTTTGAATAGTCTGCTATCATCTATATGTTTAATTATTGGGTGTAGTACTCCTTAGAAAGTTAGCGATGACTTTGAATTCTTCGGTTTTCTAATTACAAAAGTCAATGTATATCATTGTACAACCCAAGGTAAACAATAGTTCATCAATTTTTCAACATCATTTCATGTCTAGAAGCACAATATCTCAACATAGTATTTAGAGATTACGTGTCCAGTGATCTTATTACTCACGAAGGAACTATCCGATATGATACCCACCGTTTGAGCTCATATTGGATGCACAAGAAACTATCGATAAAAGTAGAAAAGTTCTAAAAGGATTCGTACTCATAGATCTCTGAAACCGTTTTTACTGAATTTTCGATCCACTTGTAAGTATTTACCGTAAAATTAAATAACGAAATTTTCATGTGAAACTTTGCCTATAGATAGGTGTGATGACTCTGAAAATTTCAATAGAAAAGAATGTTCGTTTATTCAGATATTGAATTTTCAAAAAAATGGTCGTATACCGCAATAATCGAGTTTACTTAAAAGTTCAATATCTCGATAACAGACCATTTTTTTCGGCTGAACCTTTCAGAGTCATTAGATCTATCTATAGGCAAAATTTCATTATTTGATTTTTCTGTAAATACTTGAAACTTGATTGAAAACTCAGTAAAACAGTCCTAACCCGGTCCCAGGGACCCATGCGAATGAAGCCTTTTAGAATTTTTCTAGTCTTATCGAGACTTCCTTATATAATCAACATGACCTCTAACGACGGGTATCATTTCAGGTAATTTCCTCGCCAGTACTAGACATGACTGAGACCGGCACAGAGACTATTTTGCCTATGCCTATTTAGAATACATGAGTTGTGACAATATGACAATCGATGCAAGTTTTAAACGGCCATAAAAGGTATCATTCCCAATGAAAAAGTGTAGGTTATGGTCCCGATTCCAAGATGAACACCATCTTGATCTAAGCCTTATATCGATTCAAAGACTTCTAATAATAGATCGAATGTACAATTATTGCATACATCAGACTAACCCTATGATTTGTATCGTTTAGATTTCGTCGTCGTATTATAATGAAACTTGATGATAATCATCGCTATCAAACAGTATTATTAAGTAAACAAACAGAATTTCATCCCAATCCATCCAATATTTATATTGGTGGTTATCATCGATTATGTAGTTATGATGAACAACATTGTCGATCATATCGTGGATGTTTAAAAAATGTTACTATTGATAATAATTATCTTGATTTAATTAATGATGAATTAAATCGACATCGTATATTAAAACAATGTCATGACTTTAATAAATAAAACTACATTTGACATTGAACATTTTAAACGAAGAAGAAATGATGAATTCATTAAATTATATCAACTTTATTTTATTTGAATGTTAAATAAATTTGACGATGAATATTTTTTATATCAAAAATAGTTTTATTTTGCAGTTCTATTATTTTATACGAGTTGGCGATGATGCATTTATATAATATGAAATTAAATATTTTATTGTAAATCTATAAATTTATCATTTTTGTTAATTCCAATTTTTTTGACAATGCATTTGTATCATTACATGAATCATGAAAATAAACTACTTGTCTAATTAAAATAAATTCATTTTAATTGTAAATTAATGAAGTATTAGTGATAAAATCGAGTATTTCCCGAAAGGATTCGCTCCAGAAAACTTTCCAAAATAGTCTAACAACTTTCCAAGTGGATCTCGACGAGTTCTATCGAATGGGTCCTTTTGGAGCTAAATCTGATAAATCCTTCCCTCCAGAAACGGTCAATTACAGGTTCTATCCGTAGATTTCTCCTAAGACCAGAAGAGACTCACCCAGAAGTACTTTCCAAGTCCAACACATAACTTCCCGACTGGATCTAAACGAGATCTAACGAATGGATATCATTTGAACTTGATTCGATGCTCCCCTTCCCAGAGAAACGTCTAATCCAGGGTCCAATTATTCAGTTTTTCAATAAAATCTGAATTGATTCGTCCAGAAGTGCTTTTCAACTGAGACATATGGCTTTTCAAATAGATTTCAATGAGATCTATCGAATAGACATCCTTAGAACTTGATTCAATGCTCCTCGTCCCAGAAAAATGTTTAAGGTAGGGTCCAATTTTTCAGTTTTTAATAAAAGTCATAAGGATTCACTGAGAAATACATTCCAACTGGGACATATGATTTTCTAAACAGATCTAAATGAGATGTATCGAATGGGCAGCTTTTGAATACAACCAGATGCTCCTAACGAAAGGAAATCAGTAAAAGCTAGCCGAAATCCTAGGTTGTTCCGTAAAACTTGTCAGGATTCGCCTAGCAGGACTTCCTAACGTTCTCGTAGAACTTCTGAATTAGAGTCTGACGTGCTCTATCGATTGGACAGTTTCCGAGCTCAATTTGATGCCTCTATCTTTTGAAAACCTGTTATTTCTTGTGAGAAATTAGCTTTTTCGTGGCAGAACCTGTCACGATTCACTCCATCCTTGATTCAAACTACACGATTGATGGTTCGAGCGAGAACTCGAAGAATTCAATCGAATGGATACCCGAGTGAATGTCCTAAGGGTTGATGGCGTACCTAGTTGTCTCCCGACCATATGTTTTATGTCTCACAAAATATACAATCAATAGAATGAGTACATGCCGGCCACTCAACAGCTGTAATATAATGGATTGAAGGGTTTTAATTCGAGGAGAACTAAAACAAATTGGTAGTTAAAGAGAACTATGAAACGAGAGGAGAAAGAATTTATCGTGCACGATATCAAGAGAAGGAAAAGAAAATTAATTTATCATGCGGGATAAGACAACGAGAAGAAAAATAATTCACCGGGCAGCATCTTATTTCGAAGCGAAGAAAAAGTTTCATTGGATGATTTCTGTAACCGAATTCAATGCTTATTTATTTTTTCTCTGCATGAATTAGGAGAAAACAAAGGAAACTACGTGGATCTGTAAGCATCCGCGCCGATTTCCTGAAGCGTCTTGGTTAACTATGTAAAAACTAGCATTTTGCTTTTGGGAAAGGCGGTGGGTACCCGAATCGGATGAACGAGCTGTCTGTTTGAAAGAGATTACTGATATTTCTCTGTATAGTTTTGTCATCCGCTGTGAGAGTGATCCCCAGCCAAGCACACCAGCTTCAATGTGAAAAATTTACTAAGTAGGGGGAAATTACTGGATCACGGTGGCACCGAATAGACGAATCAGATCAGCGAAGAGTCTCTTACATAGCGCTCGTCCAGTTCTATCAACAATAAATCAAATATGTAGTTGAAACCAATGGTTGGCCGGATTGTGACAGGCTCTTTCCACGAAAAACTGAATTTGTGCCTTTGAATCGGGCATTTCCAAAAGCCAACCATATTGGACTCGCCTAAAAAGGTGCTCCATCGGTAGAGCTAATCACGATCTACTTCAAAACTCTCATCTAGTTGTTGGAAAGTGCTTTCGAACGAATTCTGTAAGGTTTTACAGAAAAGCCTAGGATGCCTCGAGTTTTTTGCAGATTTTCTTGGCCCAGCACCATCTGATTTTGCTTAAAAGGTATCCAATCGGTAGAGCGCGTCATATTCCATTGGGAAAGTAATGTATTAGAGTTGCAGACAACTCTAGGGCGATTCGCTACGGCATTTATTGAAAAGCGGAACGAGTGGATCTCGAATCAGGCGTTTTTCTCAAAAGGAAAGGATTGAATCAAGTTTTAAAGGTGTCCATTCGATAGATCTCGTTTAGATCCAGTCGGGAAGTTATATGTTGGACTTGGAAAGTACTTCTGGGCGAGTCTCTTCAGGTCTTAGGAGAAATCTACGGATCGAACCTGTGACTGACCGTTTCTGAAGGGAAGGGTTTATCAAATTGAGCTCCAAAAGTGTCCATTCGATAGAGCTCGTCGAGTGCTACTTGGAAAGTTGTTAGACTATTTTGGAAAGTTTTCTGGAGCGAATCCTTTCAGGAAATACTCGAATCCTGACCTAAGGTATCCTACGTTTTTTGCTTTGATTTCTTGCTGAGAAAGATAATTTTGTTTTTTTCAATATCAGTGACAAAAGAATAAAAGTTCCTTTCATGTTTAGATATGAAACTGAGCCAAAAAAAAGCGTAGATTTCGTTATAAAATATTTTTTATCAAAATGTCGCCTGAGAAGAACCACAAAAGAAATGAATCAAAAAGAGTCAATGATAGAGTAGAGATTAAATTTTGATAAACGATAATTTCTTATAGTAATTCTGGATATCATATTTCTTTTCCTTGTTTTTCAATTATTGATAGTCAAAATCTCTAAATACAAGGAACGTTTTTTTGTTGTTTCATCAGTCTTATTGAGAAAACTTATTTTTCTCAATATGGAATTAAAGCATAATTACACAATATTTTAACGATCTTAATAAATTATTTTTTTCTAGTCAATTATATGTTGTGAAACAAAAAAGAAAATATTTATTAAATTGGAGAAAATGAAAAAAACTATTATATTCACAGCTGTATGAAATATTAATATATTTTTTAATGAAATCTCAAATTTGAGATTTTGTTTTTGAGAAACCTACTTTTAAAAATTAGAGAGGCATTTTTTCTGGGTAATCCCATGTGTTCTATTCAATTATACATAAAAAAACGAAAAGAATGGTGGAGAAATTTTGCGTTTTTTGCAGCTTACAAAAAAATAATATATTGAAAGACTTGTCTCTTCCAAGTAGAATTTTTTTTGATGATTGACTCACTCAAGTTGAAATCATTATTTGAAGATGACAGTTCAATAAAACTACTGCAATGGCCATAGTACTTATGAATAGTGTCCTGCATGACTAACATGTTTTTGGTTACAATCACGAAAAACAATTCGTGTTTAAACATCTTTAGAAAAAAATTCTTTACGGTATAACAGTATTATCTATATGGTATATTTCATTGACCGTCATCAATACGAACAGAATGAAATAGTCGAAGGTGCTTGTTTTCAGTATCCTGTGGTATTTCTATTAGTAATTGTACATCGTAAAAGCGATATGCACATAATATCTGCTGCTCCCGATATATAAACTACTGTGCAATTTCTTCAAAAAACAAAGTGTACGACGTACACTTTGTAAGAGAAATTACTTCTTTCCTTCTAAGATGTTGAAAGTTATTTGGAATATCAAAAAACATGTTTTAACTATAGTGTAGAACACAATCTATCAATTAAAAGTTGTATCTATGTTTATTGAAATGATATGAACATTGTTCTAGTTTTTATTTCTTTACAATTTATGAAACTTCCTTTTTTTTTTGTATACTTTGTCCATATAAACAATGTGTAAATATATACATCTTGTATTAGACTTCCAATAGAAAAATTGGCCACAACCACGCAGTTCACTACTCATCAAATTATTTGAAAGATTTAAGTAACAATGAAACTTCGATCTAATATTTTTGAAAAATATTATTTATTTTATATTCAATAAAAAAATTTCTAATGTGTAATATTTTACTCGGCAGTCGTTAATCATAAAAACGATTGTTGAGAAAATTTTCGAATAACATTCAAAACAATATAATTCAGATAGAATAGAAAAAGAACAATTATTACTTTTCATGTTGCCTTCAATGCATCATTTGTTGATGATAGTGTTGAAATCAGGGATAAGAAGAAAAAGAATAGCAAATATTATAATAAATGTTTTCAATAATATAATACGAAAATGGCAATTTGGAAATTATGTCGAACAATAAAGATTAATTGGCAAATATATTAGAGGAACATAACCAACTACTAATTGACAGATTCAAGCTAATCTGTTCAAATCATCGAGATACATATATGTTTATTGAGATAATAATATAAATCACATCATATCATTCTTGTTATATTGGAAATAATGATCTGGAATGAAATAAAATCAATAAGATTGATTATATTTTATTGGTGAAATCTGAAATCGATTCATGTCAAAGATCATTTCTTCATTGTGACTAATGATGATATTCAGAGAATTGTTGTGAGAGCATTAAGATTAGAAGGTGAGTGTGAAGAAAATTTCCATATAAGATAGACTAAAAAATACTTCTAGAATATTCTGTTAACTTTCAGAAGACTAGTTTTCAAATAATCGAAACTGATTGAAGATCGATAAAAATAACTCGACTCAAATCCATAAGTTCTGTAATATAGAGAATGACAATGTGAATATTTTACATTTTAGCTTCATCAGAGGTTGCAATGGCAAGTTGTATTTTGAAAAATTTTGCGAATCTCAGATGGTGAATATATGGATGCGAAGATCAGAAACTTCTCTTTATATCCACAT